TACCAGTGGTGTATCTGTGTGCCTGTGGGTGTTAGCCATCCCCTGCCCCAGTGTAAGTGTGCGAGTGTCGCCTGTCACTTTTTACGCTCCTGCAAAACACATCCACATCCACAGCCATGCACAAAACCATACACCACTGACGAACTGCATAAATATCCAAGCGAGAATGCGGCAACAAACGAATATCCGATACCTCCTCTATGGGGGATTTGAACAAGTGCTGGCAACACGATACTATACACTATACACTATCAATGGAAGGAGATTGGGCAAAAAGAGCATCTGCAAAGCATTAAGGCTTGCATACCTACGTGGAAATATGAAGTAGATGAGAATCAAATCACAAACTAGCAGGCAAATGTGTCAGTGGCATAACTACTTCGATTTCTCCGGCCTTGATTTTAGCTTTTGCACTCAAAATATTTCCATGTCCACCAAATCCCTTTTAAGATACTTCTTTGAATAAAGGGGCCTAAAAAAGGTTTTTAGCTTTGTGGCACTTCATAGATACACTTTGCAACTTACCTCCGTAGAAAGTATCCCTGTTGAACCCATTCACTTCGGAGAAAAACATTCGACAAATCCAAGTGTTGGCTTGAACTTGGCCCAGACACACGAGCTCCAACCCGAAGCAAATTGCTTCTGGTTCCTGGAAATTGTACTTTTCAGGACCAGGCTCGAACATTCGCATTGTCCTTTTGGCCGGATTGCTCGGAAGGGTATCGCTCGCCCACACATTTGTATGCATGCATTTGAAAATTTGAGTGCTGCTTGCGACAAGTTCTTGGGCTGTTGTTGTCGTTTCCATTGCCGCTGCATTTTTTTTCCCGCCTGCATTGTTGACAGGCGTTAAAATTTGACATACACACATACATGTGGTGTGCGGGTGTGTGTGAGTTTGTTTATGTGTGTGTGCAGGGGACGGGAGGGGCTAGGACATTGTTTGAATTGCCCGTCGAGGTTAAGCTGTAACATTTAAAGTGTTGTCGGTTCCGTTTGCCGTTTGCCATTGTAGTTGCTGCTGAAAGCTGTATGCTGAATTCTGAATGCTGAATGCTGCACGCTGCATGTTGCATGTTGCTGCCGCAGATGTTGCTGGTGTTTAGCTCAAGTGCACTTTGCGTTTTCCCTTTCTGGGCGCACAAGTTGACATTCCTGCTGCCGAGAAGGCTCTGACGGATTTCAATTGCCCCCGGCACTCGGCGAAAGTTTTGAATAATATTCCGCTTGCACAACTAATCAAGGCATTAATTCCTTAGGCTCGGGGCAACTGGGGGTTAACCGTCGGCGGAGGCGGAGGCGGTGGGTCGATGTCACACGTCCATCAGAGATTGTCGTTGGGTTGAGGCTGTCGTGGGTCAAGTGGCCAGAGAGAGCGCCTCCTTGGACCTCAAAGGACCCCCGCTCCTGCGACTGACATCATTGTGCTGGGGCCGAGTCCATTTTCATTGTCTAAGCATTTAGGACCTCGGCTTATTAGACTCTGCGGCCCCGCCCACCGCCTCCCAGCGAACCCTCAACCTGCACAAAGGATCCCGGCCACAAAGGACATCCCCGGCTATCTACACAGGGCACCGATGTGTAGTTGTAGGCGTGTGCCATTAGCCATAATGCATACTCCATTATGCCGGCATTGTCTGACTTTTTTGCGCCCCCATTCTCCTTTCCCGGGGCGTGTGCAATGTCCTGGAGGGCGGACAGAGGACCGAGGACAGAGGACACTGCGGTGGCTGCACGGAAAGAAACTGTGCTTTATGTATTGATTAGATAATTAAGAGGTAGTTCGTGATTGAAATTGTGATTGTCGGCTGAGTTCGAAACAGATCAAATTTAATGGTAAATAAATACAAAGTGCAGAGATCCTTAAAACCTTTACAACTTCTAACTTCATCACCATCTTCTTCTGAATTAATATTATAGCAGAGAGCATGTTTTGAGTGGCGGGGCTGCTCATGCAACTTGCCTTTGCGACAAAGCCCAAAGTCCACAGCCATCTGGCTGTCAGTCAGTTTCAGTTTCAGGTCCACAGCCAAGTTAATGACAACTTGCATAAGAACACTTTACCCTCCTCACAGAGTGGGAGTGGGAGTGGGAGGGGGATGGTCGGACAGCTGGACAACTGGACAGCTGGCGAGTGTCCAGCACACATGAATGTTTTAGCTCCCAGCCAGGAAGCCTTGGCCCTTGGAATTCCTGTTGCAATTTCACTCTTACTCTCCGGCCAGATATGAATATTTCATGCTGCCCTCACTGCCAACCGACTGCATTCAATATGCTCTTCATGCAACCGAAAACCGGTAAGACAATTATGGCCAATGGATTTTAACACTTGCGAGTGGGGAAATATTGGGGCCAGTCTGCCAGTCTGCAGGATGTTCTGCTGTGCGTACGAAGTTATGGGGATTCAGGCAAGCGCAAAGTGTTTAATGTGAAGTTCACTTCCGTTTCGCCAGAATACGCTCAAGTTAATTATTAATCGGTTTTAGTGGCGCTTCAACGCGAAACGCTGCTCACTGCGAAGTTTGCAATCGAGCAGAAATTGGAAAGTTTTCAAAGTTGGCCAACTGAGAGTGGCTGGCTGTTCGGGGGCTGCCGGGGACTCCAGGACTTCCGCCCCCGGCAGGAACTGTAATTTCTTATTTTGCCTGCTGCGAATTGAAGAATTTATCTTTATTTTTTACCCCAGTACAGCCCCCTTTCCCTCCCCCTCCCCCTTCCCCTGGAGCCCCCTTCCCATCTGCATTGTTGTGCATTGGGCCGCAGCTGGTCTGCCATTAAATCAACAATGGCCGCTCGTACACGTGCTCGTCCTTCTGTGTGTCCTGTGTGTGAGTGGGTGTGTTTCTGTATGTGTGTGTGTGTTTGCTCTGCTGTATTAGTTTCCCTTTTGTATGATTTTTCATTTGAGTTAAGTCCCGTCGCCCCCCGCGAGCCCCACGGCCTGGGCATATTTGTGCGTATTGCAAGTGAAATTCTCTGCTGCTTATTGTTATTGCCCCGGGAACATGGAAAACGATTGAGCGTCGGGATGGGAGAGCGAGGTGCTGGCTGCGAAGGGGGTCGGAAGGGTCGGAAGGGGGGATTGGGGAAAAGGGCACACAGGACATTCAGAACACAGAGCCCGGCGCACAGGACACGCAGCAATTGAGAGTTGTTGATTGTTGCATATTACTCACAGCCCGAAAGTTCAAAGGGTCATCGCAGCGGGCAAGTTGATTCCGACTCTGAATTTGTTGGCAGCTCGACAGCGAGCGAAAAAAGCGAAGATTTTCCGGTGCATACTCCAGGGAATAATGCCCGTATTGTCATTCAGCCGGATTACTCGGGCTTAAGCTGATATTTAAAATTTGCTAAGGAGCTTATAGCAACGGAAATTGTTGACCTTTTCGATTGAACGGTTCGGTTTCTTATGAGCTGCCAATTGGCCTTATTTATTATAAGTAGAGCTGTCTCTAGGTTTCCCAGCTTTAAAATTGAATGTGTGTTCAATTTTGGAAAAGTTTCGGATAAAAGAATTACCTGCCTGCACAAACAATCCATTTGAATTAGGAGCGAAATGATATTAGAATGGCTTTCGACCGAAATTGGTTTCACTTTAAATTGAATAATCCGGAGCACATTGGCTGCAGTCCGTAAGCATCTCTGGCGGATGTGCAATATGAGGCGGAAGCCAACAATCGGGATAAAATAAATTTTTTCTGCCTGGCTCATAAATATGCATGCTATAACCGGAAAACGATTAAATCGCAAAGGGTTTTAAGCTCCTGCTGCAGCTCAAACTTCGGTGAGCTCCTGCAGCAGGAGCTCCGGTACTCCAATATTGATAGTAAATGCCGTAAAGTGTTCTACGGAAATTCTGCAGACACGCGTACTAGCCGTACTCCCCGCCCACTTTCCGCCCCCTTCGGCGCTCTCGTTGTTGTTGTTGCCGCTGCCTTGAGTTTTATGCAAGCATGTGGAAAATTCCAACGAAGTGCGGTCATTTTAATAACAAAAAACATCAGCTCTTTATGCACTCAATGCTCCTCTTTTTTCGTTGTTCGCTGCTTTGGCTTCTATTTACTTGTTTTTTTTTTTTTTTTTTTTTTTTTGCATTTTATGACTTTTGCTGTTGTTGTTAGCCCAGCAAAACTTTTCCAATATACCAGTGAGCTTTTTGTTTTTCCTGCTGCACACTGTTGTTGCTCCCCGTCGGGTTGGATTTCCCCCGAGTGTGTTGGCAGTGGGCAGAGGGCGGGGGGTGGTAGGTGGGCGGTGGGTGGTGGATGTGTTTGCACGGCTATCACAGTCGGTTGGTTTAATTTTTAAATCACACAAGGCAGTTAATTGATGGGGGAAGTGGTGTTAGGTGCTGCAGATTCCCATAAAAGTGAATGAATTTGCAGCAAGCTGTCAAATTTGTAGGTCAGGGCTGCGGTCTGCAATTATCCAATCAAGTCGGTGGTTTTCTTGGAAGCCTTTGCCGCCCTAAGCTGAAAATAAATGTCGGACACAAATTTCTTGAATTCTCCCGAAAAGTTTTCCTTTGAAAATTCGCCCCCTTTAATATCAGCTTTCCACAGGCACCACTCCCTCAGCACTTTCACACTAAGAGATTAAGTGTCAAATAAAATCTAGACTGAGAATCTCCAGTTAACAGTGTTCTTCAATTGTCAGTCTTAAATCAGGGTTGTGGGTTGCCAACTACTAGAAGCGTCATTTTGGCCAGCATCCCAAAGTTTTATTACTCCGGATGCACTGTCTTTTTATGGGTTTCTCCTATTCCACAAATTTTTACTCATGCTAGGTAAATGGGGAAAGTAAACGTTAGTTTTGGTATTTCACGAGTTCACTTATTTCAAGCAAATAATAGTAAATCTATTGTATTAAAGCATTACGATCTGTTGAAAAAGGTTTAAATATTTAATCAGGACTTGTTAGTGATTGTAAATTTGATCTATTTAACCCCAGTTACTCTATCCTAATGTCTAATTCCCCTTTCGATCCTCTCTCGCCCGCAGGGTCAGTGCTCGGCTGGCACACTGCCCATGGCCTGGGTCGATGAGGGACCCGGGCCCCCAACCTGCCCGCGATCCTGCGCCGAGCAGCAGCAACTGAAGCCAGCGGCCTCGAAGGCGAAGCGGAGCGCCACCAGTAACAATAAAGTCAAGTACTTCGTAAACTATAAGACAGCCCAGATGCGTTTGCGGCGCGGTGGGGAGAACGCGATGGATCGGGACTCCGCCACCGAGAGCAACTCCCCGACGACCACCACCGACCAGGACCAGGACCAGGACCAGATCCACGATACGGATGTGGAGGCAGAGGCGGAGGAGTCTTGGTCGCTGACCTCCACCACCACGGAGGAGGCGGTGCCGGAGCCGACGCTGGCCTACAGCCACCTGCACGGCCAGGAGCCGATCCTGGTCCAGCAGCAGGATGCGCGGGAGCAGGAGGAGCAACAACAGTGCCTTGAATATCTGGGCGATTCCGCCGAGTCGAGTCCGCAGCACCTGTGCGGCCTGCCGACGCCAGGACACCTGCTGGAGCGGCTGAGGGTCCTGCGGCTGCGCAACTGCTGCGAGCGGAGCGTCTTCAGCGCCCTGCACACGCTGGCCCTCAACGCCAGCCTCTCCAACCGGAGCGAGTGCGTCCGCGTGCTCAGCGACCTGCTCGACGTGGACGGCCTGGCCAACAGGATCACCTGCGAGCTGGCCGAGATCCTGTTCCGCTTCGACTGCCGGCAGGTCTACTCGCTGATCAACCAGTGCGACGACTGCAAGGTGAGTAGAGCTAAGTAGCAAACTCTTCCCCGAACTCCTTGGCCCTTAACCCATCTAATCCCCTGCCTTCCCACCCCAACGAGCCACGCCCGCCACTCCCTTTAACCCAATTAAGCCCCAACCCCATTCACTTTCCACTTTGGGCCACGCCGAATCTCTTCCGCACCGCGTGACATTTTTAGCTGCTCATTAATTATTAAAGTTGAGCTGCGAAAAAGGGAAAAACTGAAAACAAAACCAAAACCAAAGGTCCTAAAACAGCAATTTCGCACTGAGGAAAAATTCAGATAGGAAAAAAAGAATTTCTATTAGAACTTTACGCATTGAGAAAGGATATTAGGCAAAAGCAACAAATCGAAATGGTTTCTTCTCTTCCAGAGTAAATGCTTTAGTCGAAGTGCAAAGCAGTAAATTGAAATCTGAACCGTTTTTCTCAGTGCCTGACCAAAGGACCAAGTTAAGCCTTTAAGGTCTATAAGTTTATCTATTTATCAAGGGTCGGCGAAAGCTTACATTCCCCCAGCGAGGGCAAATGTCAAAAATAGTAAGCCTTAATCCGCCAGGAACAAAGCCTTGCTTGCATTAAAAACTGCCAGCCTGGCCCATTGGCCATTCTCTCAGTGCAGAGGACTCACGCCGCTGTTGGCCCATAACCAGAGCCAGGACTCTTGTCCGAGGATTCATATTTCAGTCTCGTAATTATGGGCCAGCTGGGTTGGGCAAGGGGAAGGGAAGGGGAGGGTTAAGGGGAAAGGACGAAAGAGTCGCAGGACTTCGCGTTGCGGTTAATTTGTGGCACTTAAGCGCGGCTGCAGTTGCTCCTCGCACGTAACAACACCAGATTTCGGTTGCATATTTGATGTCTGTTCCATATAATTGGTAATTATTCGTCGAGTGCCGGCCAGAGATTCCTTTCCTTAACCTGAAAACCTGAAACGGCTGAAGGGGCGCGGGGCGAGGGGCTAGAGGGGGCTGGGCTGAAACAATGACTACGCTAATGAGGGTTTCTGTGGGTAAAGGAAAACCTTTTGAATACTGCGAAATCTCTGAGAGAGCAGCGGCGAATGGAGGCTGTAAATGTGAAAAAAAAGGAAAACAGAACGCAGAAAAACAGAAATGTGAATTGCGCTGATTAACAAAACTTGAGGCAAATGCTAAGCAGACGGCAACAAAACAACAACAACGCGGGCCAAAAATACACAAGGTGCGAGTGGGGACGAGGGCTCAGGTGGGTTGCAGGTGCCAGGGGCAGACATATGTACACACACAAATTTAAATTTAAATTACGCATACGCCTGGTGGCACACATTTAATGCGCTGTGCAGCCGCAGAGGCAACAACAACAAGGGCTTTAAACTAACCGAAGGATACGGATTGCAGGGGGGTGAGGTGTCGAAGAAGGGGTGGCTGGGGAGGGGGAGGCAGAGAATCAGAGCAGAGCAGCAGCCTTAACATAATTCTAGTTCGAAAATGGCGCTCTCCGTCTGGAAATTAGTTGGCAGAGAGCGGAAGAGAGACTTCCAGGCAATCTTCCTCTCTCTCTTGCGGTGTCAGCGGGGAACTCTCTCTTTCTCTGACAGGCTAGTCCCCTCTCTCGCTTTCTCTCTCAGCTTCCCTGGCTTTGGGGATTCTGCAAACTTTTTCGCAGTTTATATAAGTTTCAACAGGCCAATGTTTTGTTAAAATATTCCCCAAAAATAAACACACATCCCAATTTCCATGGAATTCCTCTGGCGGACCAGTTGACTTGGCAACTATTTTGTTTCATAATGTTTCAAAGGCTAAGACCTTAATTTGGCTTAACTGACAAAATGACCCGACAGGAGCCATAGGAATTTCCAACAGAAACATTTGAATTTTCAACTGCGCGCGCTTCTCCGTTCGCCTCTCTCTTTTCGGCCATTCAGCAGAGGGTTCCTTGGCTTTTCCAAGTGCCAGCCTCGTCCTTACGGCCAGATTCCAGTACAAAACACGTTTTTGCACATGGCCCGAACAAAGTTTGGACTTGGCCCCGCCAGTATCGGTATCACTGGGCTGTGATATGACTTATGGTCCAGTTAACCGATTTAAATACTCGTTCAAACAGCACTGGCAAACGCATACTGTATTTATTTATGATTACTCACCTTCCTCGACCGCAAGTTCGTCTAATTAGTCGCAAAAGGCTTGACATTGCGGCCAACCGCAAAGGGAAAACCCATTGGCCGGAACACAGGCTTCAAGGCAACATTTTGTGTCCTCAGTTGCGGTTTGGAAAACCGTTTTGGGTGCAGCACGCACCATCTTTGAGCCCGCTTGAAAACCGAGAGACGTTGGTGGTCCCATTATTGCGGCATTTCGATTATTCTGGTCATATTTGTGGAGAACATAATCGTTTTCAAAGACTACATTATAAGGAAAAAGCATCATTTGATGGAGACATGGTTTACTTGACCCCAAAATAATTACATAAAGGCTTTTAGGAAAAGAGTAAAGTATTCACATCTCTGATTCGATAGTTTGCCATTTTTAGCAAGAAGCCAAACCTTCATTTGCATGCACAAAGCAAATTTAATTGCTGATAAACCAAGAATAGGTTGCCTTTATTAAGCTTAGGAAAAGGAAAAATAAATATTTGCCACTTTGCTTAAAACCCAATTAAGCCTTCTACAAATGAATCAAAAATAGATGAGCATAACAACACATGCATATTCATGAGACGACTTTATTATGCACAAAGCCACAATAAATCATTGACCTCTGCATCGAGCAAGAGTGAAACTTTCACTTCACCTGAGAACAATGGAGCCAAAGTTCAAGGATTGCAACGCACTCTTCAATCTGCTGATTCCGATTAATTTAATCAATTGAGCTAAGCACCTATTGTTTAGTTAACCTTTTGCATATATTGGCTCCAAATTGGCTTACTTGCAAATTCAAAAACCTTATCGATGTTTGCAGTCATTACTGTTTGCTGCCATAATCTATTTCCATCAAAGATTGCGATTTAATGCTGAGGATTCTCGCTGGTTTTGCTTTCCCCTCCGGCTTTTTGTTTCATATACTCTGCGGCAGGGTGTACAAATTTGCATTTCACATATAGACACATATCGCATAACCTTACGTCATCGAAGGAGCGCCAAGGAAGCTTATGGTTGGCTGATATTGGGTATTAGGTATTGGGTATAAAAGCGCCTTTGTCGGCGAAAGAAAATTGTCAAAAGCGGAAGTAGCGTAATTTCATAAATGATTAATTACAAACACTTTACACGCATTCTCACTTATGTACGCCAGTCGCACACACACACACACCCTCACATTGGCACGGCGACATCCTTGCGAAGGATAACGCTCTCTCTCTCTCTCCCTCTCTCACACACTCACATATTTGCTTAGGTGTTTGGGCCATAAACGATTTGTTGCTGTTGTCGCCTGGCGACAGCTGACAACACTGAGCTGTATTACACTACAGCCGCGTTCTGTTGGGTCCGCTTCGCACTTCCCCGCTCCTGCTCCTGCTGCCCAGGATCGCGCAGGATCCCCATGTCCTTTGCCCCGCCCCCTTTGCGGCTGGACACATGTGTGCGACGACTGCCAGGAGAAAAACTTTCTGTGTTTCTGTGTTCCAATAATCTTTCCCCCTCCGCATTTGTTTCCACCTTTTTTTTGCATTGGCATTTGGCCCGGCTTCCTTCGTCCTGTTCGCCTCTTTCGCAGCTTGCCACTTTGTGCAATCTAGCAATTTATCGAGTTCTGCGTGGGCGCCACATCTTCCAGATTATAATCCTGCCGGGCTGGCGGTGGAAGTGGCGGAGGACGTGGAAGCGGAAGCAGCTGGCCCAGGACTCCAGATTGATAGATTTCACTTTGCGGTGCACGGTGGATTAGAGAAAAAGTTGATTTGGCCGAGATTCCAGGGCAAGATGGGATCTCACTGGTTGACGGCTGGGTTCTATAAATATCCCTTTGAGTCAGCTAGAAATACGCCCAAATGTATTTTAGTTTCGATTGGTCTATTTGTTCATAGATTCCTATTAATGAAAAAGAAAATATGTTTAAATACTTTAACTAAGAAATACTTTCGTAAGGGATGGTGTACTTCGGAACCTTTTCATGAAATGTATTTTCTTCGCCATAGAGGATTGTCTTGAAAATAGCAACAATCGATACAGAAATGTTTGGCTTTCTCCGCTTAGCCAGCAATCGTCATTTGGGTCACATTCCTCCCTCCGCAGCCAGCCCATATAATACTTTCTCCCCCGATTCTGATTAGCCCCGAGACCCATTGAAAAGCGGAGCAACTTTCGCTTTCAGCCCTCAGAAGTATTGCGTATACGCCGTGTAGGCTGAGTTCAGGCAAAAGTTTCGGTTAAAGGGGCTCTCCGCCGAATGAATGGCGCAATGCAGCGCAAAATTGGCCAATTCGAGCAAGAAGCAGAAGCAGAATCAGAAGGAGAAGCGGCGCTAATGTGGCCAAAAGGACGAAGCAGTCGAAGGAGCGGCATTAGGCAGCGGCAAACGATTAATCAATAAAACGAAGCCTGATGAGCAGGACACAGACAGGCGGACTGGCGGACAGGACCGCAGGACAGACAAAAGGGTAGCGAGGGCAGCAGCTGCTCCTTGTGCTCCTCGGGGTCTTCGGGGTCCTTCCCCCCTGAAATCCTGCTCCTGCACGTTGACTGACAAGTCTTTGTGCAAACAGACGCACAATCCCACTCACAAACACACACTCGCAAATAGGGACAACACACACACACACACACAAACACATACACACAGACGGAGACCAGCTCGTTGCTGACACAATATGAAAAATGTTTTTTTCCCCTCTTTCCAGGGGATGTGGTGACCGGGATGGGCGGCGGGGGAAGGGGCGGGGCAGGGCATGTTCGTAATCCACAATCGACAAAGATAAATCGCTTTTAGTGTGCTTCAAAGCATTTATTTAAATTTACGCTCGCTCTCTGTTTCTGTCTCGCCCCCACTGTCTGTCACCTCGCCTTTTCTAGTCAAATGCA